AATTAGAAGGTGCTCTCAAGGGCATAGTACCTAATGGCCTGCTGTCCCCACACCTCCCAGACAGTGTCCTGCTCCACAGCCCCCAAGACGGCACACTTTCATGGATGCTAGGACAGTGGAGACATAAAATAAACACTTAGGTTTTATCTATAGCTGTGCACCTGTCCATGAACACTATGGTCTGGGCCTCTTGAAAGCCCTGCCCTCACCTGCCATGCCCAAGGCTGGGGCTCAGCCTCCTGCCAGCCTGGACAGGGGCATCTGGGATGGTTGTGTGATCCATCTTCACACCTGTCCTAGCCCTTCAGCTCCTTGCTGGAGCCTGGCAGGTGAGGCAATGGGGACCAAGGGACCAATTAGGAGAATGCCTTCAGCAGCCATAGGCGGGAGCTGGGCTGGCCTGGGCTGGGGAGCGGATATTGATTTGGTCTACAGGAGCAAAGGGAGCTGTTAAACGTGGGGCTGTAAAATCGCTCTTCCTTAGCCAGCCCTCTCTGCAGGTGCACGAGGGACCTGGCGGGCAGGCGGTGGACAGTGAGCAGCAGCACTAGCACCCTGGTGGGGGTGGTCCTAGATACCTTGGGTCTAATGTCCCAGCCCAGGGCCTGAGAGGCCAGGTGCCCACAGGCCCCTGAGCTCCAGCCACACACCTCTTCTTGGCTTTCTTGGACAAAACCCTGCTGCTGTGCCTTCGCTCACACGGACCCCTCCCCTTCACCTCCTTCTCTATCTCTTGAGATCCTACTCAGCTTTCTAGACCCAGTGCAAACGGCACCCTCCACAAAGTCTTCCAAATTTTCCACTCCCTGTCCCTGACACCATGAAAATAAATGGGCTTTCCCTCCCCAGATCCCCAAAGCCCCCAGGCTCTGCCTGGCTGGACTCCCATCATCTCTGCCACAGGACTAGGCACTGTGTGCTTCACTCCCTCACATACCCAACACAGGTGGGCCTGGGGGTCCCGGACCCCAGGTGACGGTGAGCACCTCAGCTGGGGAGGACAGGGCAGGAAAGTGTTGGCTGAGCTATGGCTGCTGGCCTTGGGGCTGGGGCACCTGATGCTTGTGCCTGGACTGCAGCCCCCAGGCCCTGCCCTGCGGCAGGTGTCAGGGACAGTCATGAATTGTCCCTCTCCTTCCCATGTGATGCTCTGTCCAGCTGCTCCAGTGGCTCAGAGTCAACTGCCCACTCAGTCAGAGGCCAGGGCTCTCTCTGGGATGTCCATCATCGACAGAGCCAGGTAGTCTGGGGCTTAACTCCCTACTCTGCCACTTAAGCTTTCTTGGATCAGGAGCTTCTCTTACTAGGCCTCAGTTTCCTTATCAATAAAGCAGAATGGTTGTGAGAATTAAGTGAGACAACTGCCACAGAGGCCCAGAGAGGGTCAGTGGCTTCCTGCAGTCACACAGCATGATAGTGGTAAAGATACTGGGGTTTTGGCCTCCCAACTCCAAGCTCCCCCCACCCCAGCCAACTTGTCTAGGGCCTGGGGTCCCAAGCTGGGGCCTCCTGCTGTGTAATCTGGCAGCAGCTCTCCGTGACCTGAGGAGTGACAGACCATCAGCCCGCGCAGGGCCAGGCCCAGGCCCCCCCTGGTTGTTCCTCTAGGCTGCCCTGGCCTCCCCAGGGGGCCTTATCTGCCCAGTCTCTCTTTTCCCACCAGACTAATCTCTCCCACTTTTCAAGAGTTCCTGTTTACTCTCTGCTGCCTTCTTGTCTCTCTCCCCTGGCCCTGCCTCCCCCATGTCTCCTGCTGGCCGCCCACATCTGGTTCAGGAGCCCCTCAGAGCAGCTGGTACTGCCATCCTGGGTAACTCCCATCTCCAGGGCTCTCCGGGCCTCCCAGAGCCTGGTCTTTCCCTCAGGGAAGAGGGAGACGGAACATGACCTTGGTCAGGAACCCTGCCTTGCCAAGCATTCTGACAGCCACAGATCAGTACATGGCTTTGTACATTCCTTGGGTTGGCTGTTGGCTCAGGGACCCTCTCCAGGGCTTCAGATGTAATGGTTTGAGGATGATTACTCCCAAAGTCCCAGGGGCTGGGATTTTATGGTTCTAGGTCTCTACAATGAGATGCCAAGACACCAGAGCCCCAGGGTTCACTCGGAGGAGGTCCTCCTCTGCCTCACCTGGGTGGGGCTCAGCTGCATGCTTCAGACCCTGACCTGGCCGGGGAGGGGCACCCAGGGACCAGCCCAGGCTCTAGCCCTCCACCCACTATTGGTTGCCCAACCCCTAACCAGCCGGGAAGGTGCCAGGCCTCACTACAGGCCCGGGCCCTGGCCAGAGGCAGGGCATAAGGCCCACTGCGTCAGGGGCGCAGCCGGGTCTCTTGTCCTGAGCTGAGGACAGTTTTCTGCCTTCCCCGCTGCTCTCCCCATGCCTAACTAAAGTGAGGACATGTGAGAAGGGGTGGAGTTTCGTGTCAGACACACCTGGGCTTGAACCCCACGCTATGGGGTTACTCTGAGATGCGGGGCCAGCCGCCTCCCCTCTCAGCTTGCTGTCCTCACCTGTCAGATGGAGGTGACAAGGCCCACCTGGGGCCTGCCACTAAGGCCACTTGGGACACTGTGTTTGCAGTAGCACAGGGTAGGTACCCAATAAAGGGTAGCATTTATATTATTGTGACCACCCTTCCTGAGGGTCGTTCTGGGTCCTTGGTCCAGTTTCTCCATTTGCTTGTCCTGGCTAGGGTCCAAAGGACACCCTCAAAGCCAGTATTTCTGAGGCATGTACTCAGCCCCGAGTGTGCCACCCCCAGATCGTGGGGCCCCATGCATTCACTGGGCTGGCCCCAGCTCATGAGGAAGCCCCAGACAAGTGGGAGAGGCAGACACAGACACAATACAGACCACTACAGCACCGTGGCTCAATGCAACATCAGAGAGCAGTACCAAGGCCGTGGGAGCCCACAGGAAGCCACTGGCCCAGGCTGAAGATGGCCGGGGAAGGCTTCCTGGAGAAGGGGCCATCTGTCTGGGTCCTGAGGGAAAAGTGGGCAGTGTCTGACCTCTATGAGCATGACTGTGATGGTTGCTTTAAAGGTCCAAAGGGTTGCAGATATCCTGAAGAGGAAGAGATCCCTTCTAGCCACACAGCTTAGGGAAGGCTTTGTGGAAATGGCTGTGAAGGCTGAGTGGGATTCCAACAGGGAAAATGGCATCCCAAGCAGGTGAGTGTCCGCTTGTGGCTGCAGCCGAGGGGATGCTGGGGAGTTGCAGGACATGCGGCTTTAAGAATCAGCTATGACCTGGGGGAAGGGCCTCGTATGCCAGGTCAGGGCACTGACGATTGGTTTTGTGGGCCACGGCGAGCCAATGAAGGCTGTGGAGCAGGGGCAGCCTCAGGCCTGGGAGAGGCCATACACCAAGGCTTGTCCATGGAGGCTAAGTTTTCTAAAGAGATGTTGGCAGGAGCCACACCATGGGATGCTCATAACCTCACCACCAACCTATCAGCTCTGTGACCACAGGAAAGGCCCTTCCCATCTCTGAATTTTCTCATCTGCAAAACAGATGGAGACCAGAAAACTTATCTTGAGGTTCCTTTCAGCCTGTGATTCTGTGATTCTGCCCACACAGCTGTAAACTTTTAGGCAGGGACTTGGAGGATGGCCATAGTCCCTGGCTCTGTCCCAGCCTGTGATCAGTCCAGCCTCTGGGAGTGTGTGCATACCATCCCACCCCTGGGTGCACACTTCACTTCAAATCCTGCTCAGGCTCCAGGGCCCTGCTCTGCCCTCCAGGTAGGGTCTTAGCCAGCTCTGGGCAGGTGAAGCCCCCTCTCAGTGTTCATGTCTCCTCCCCACCACACACAGAAATTCCATTTATAATGACTCTTTCATCCTTTGTCTTGTGTGGTCACCCCACAGCCAGACCAAGTAATGAGTAACTGCTTCCATTTGGGGGACCTACGTGGGCCAGGCCCTGAGGAGACCCTTCACCTGCACATCAGTGCCACCCATGTGCTAGGAAGGGAAGCTAGCTTAGAGAGGACAGCGCTGCGCGTGCTGAGATCCTGCCCTCAGGAGTCCCTGTCTTCTTTCACCCTCAATGGCTGGGATGCCAGGTTTCTCCCATCTCTCTGGCCATCACTTCTCAGCCTCTTTTCCTATCCATCCCCCTGACCTCCAGAGCGGAAATGCCCCAGGCCCAGGCCTAGGTTGTCTTTGTTTTTCCATCCCACCCCCTAGAGATGATTCCTGAATGTGCACCTTAGCCCTGGCCCTTCCCCAGAACTCCAGGCTTGAACAGCTGCCCATCTACTCGGTATTTCCACTTGGGACCAAATGGACATCCCAGTTTTCACGTGTCCACGTTGAAACCCAGCCCTCTCTCCCTCCCCATCTCAGGGCTCAGGCCAGAACCCTTCCAGTCCTCCTTCTGTTCCTGGCCCTCACACTCCCCCTCCTTAAAGAGAGGAAATCCTGATGGCCGCACCTTCACAACAGAACGGGAATCCCACTGTGTGCAGCCCACTGCAGCCAGCCTTGTCCAGGCCTGAGGCCGGGAGCCTTTTCTAAACATCAGCCTGAATCGCTACCACCTCCATTTTACAAATGGGGAAACTGAGGCCTAGGAGTGGAAAGCCTTCCCCACCGTCACATAGGAAACCCACCAGGGCTAGACCCTAGGTGTGCCACCACCTCCCTGAGGTCTGTGTCCCCAGCTCTCTGCAGTAGGCTTTCTCTTCAAGCTAGTTCAGCAGGTCTGACCACACGGCCAGGCTACGCATGCCTGCATGTGTATCCCTGAGGAACAAAGAATCTGCCAGCTGGGTTTATGTTTCAAGACATCTGTTCTCGCCCTTGACCAAGAGATCTTACAGGGAGACGGGAGCCAGAGCGGGTGGGGAGTAGGGGTGGGGGATGGACAGGGATGTCAGTCAGAAGCTGCCTTGCCTGGAAACCAGAGATCTCGCCCACCAGCCCCAGGCCCTTCTGAGTTCACTTGAGGAGGCCAGAAACTGAAGGGGTGGGCTGGGATCCTCAGCATTTATTTCCTACAGGTGTTTAAAAAGCTTGTTTAAAATATAGGTCATTATTATATATATATAGGTCATATATATATATATATTTATTTATATAAAATATATAAAGAGAAACTGAGGCAAGCCACCCCCAAAGAAAAAGCTATGTTTCATAAATATTTCTGTAGCTCCCACATCCCAGAAGAAAAAAACAAAACAGTAAAACATTTACAACCCAAGCTAGTGGTTCCATGTGGTGAGCCCAGCAGGCTCAGACGCCAGGGTGTGCTGGGAGGTCTCAAAGCCTGAGCCTGCAGAACGTTCTGACAAGGGCAGGCAGACCACCCCCCACACCCCGTCCCTGGGAGGCCGCTGTCTCTGGCTGGGAAGGATCATGTCCATACCAGTTTGGCCAAACCCATGCCCCTGGCTTCTCAGACCAGCCTGGCAGGCAGCAAGAGGGCACTCTAGTGCTGGGGCTGCCAGGTTATTTTTAATCTTGTCGGTTTCCTTTGATGTCCCAGCCCTCCTTCCAGGGTGGCCAGGACTTCTGTTCCTGGTGGCTTCCAAGTGGAGGTAAAGCACAAGCTGGCTCCCACGCCCGGCAACGGGAATTCACAAGCAAAATCCCTGGGGTGTCTCCAGGCCCCTCGGCCGGGTCCCGAGGAGCGGTGAGCGGCCACTGAGCTCCCACGGGGCGTGGTGGGGCCTCACTTGCACACATAGCGCTCCACTGTGCGCTCACACCTGCGGCAGGTGACGTAGCAGCACCAGTGGTATTTGCAGTGGCACCGCTCGACCACGCGGTCTGTGTAGGGGTTGTAGCCACGTCCACAGCACATGAGGTCGCAGCTGTCACTGCCATGGGACGTCTTATTGCACTGCCTGGAGGGGAGGAGGAGGTCAGTGAGCGCTGCTGTCACCCCAGCCCCACACCCCAGCCAGGCAGCCCGCAGCTTCCCCTCACCACACCCTGGGTGCAAACTTGGTCCCACTTGAAACATGTCTTGGTCTTTGGGGAATTTTAAATAATCCTCTTCCTTAGGGGTCCTTCTCACTGTTCTCTTTATTTCTAATAAACATTTATCAAAATGATGGGGTGTTTTCTTTTCTTGGAGGTGTCTTTTTTTCTGTTTCTTCTATTTCTAAATACTTGGAGGAGCCTCAAACTACTCTCATAATCCTACCTTCAAAGTTAATCTTTAATTGTATTGCAACAAATATAAAGATTGTTTCAGTTTTAGAAACCCAGGATAAATTCTGAAACAGACAAAAAGGCAATGGCTTGAGGCAAAGTGCGTGTTTGGCACATCTTTGTTGAGAGGGTCTGTCGACCATTCGCTCCCTGTGTGCCAGACACTTCCCTCGTGGAGGCATGCAGGGCCCCTGGTGGAATTACTATGCCCATCTTTTACATGGAAATGGGCCCAGCATAGGGCAGAGGCCTGCACAAGGTCTCGTAGGAGTCTGAGAATGGGCAGATGTAAGCCCTGGGGTCCTGCAACCAAGTCCAGGGAGTGCTCTCTCTACCCTAAAGGGCAGAGAACCCCTAGGCTGCCAGGGGCTGCATTTCTGACTCCCTCCTGCAGAAGAAGACACTGGAGGTCCCTATAAAACCCAAATATCCTCTATCGCCATCAGTTCTTCTGTCTAGTGAGACTTCTGAGCATATTGGCCGTTCCCTTAGCTGGGCTCAGGCTAGACTTGGATGCTGGCATGGATGCAGCTGAGTCCCCACAGCCAGAGGACCGATGAACCCAGAATATTTGGGGTGGGTGAGCCCCAGAGATGACTAAATCCAACCCTCATATTTCTGATGAAGAAACAAGGCACAGAATGGGGAGGGGCTTGCCCAGGGTCACACAGGGTGAGTATAGGGTCTGTGAGAGTTCAGGAAGGCTTCCTGAAGGAGGGGTCATCCAGGCCATTTCATGAAAAATGAGCAGCAATCTAAAATGGAGAGGAGGGGAAATAGCATGGCAGCAAAGAGGACAAGCAGCCTGGGAAAAGGCAAAGGGCTAGTCCAAGAGGACTGAGAGAGCAGATGGGAGCGGTAGGGCTGGAGGCAGGGAGGCCAGGAAAGAGGCTGGGCAGCAGCTGAGTAAGAGAGTCTGAGGCCTGACCTGGGACAGGGCCACAGTGGACAGGAGAAGGGCACCACGAGGTAAAGTCAGGAGATGACAGTGACCTGCATGTGGGGCTGTGAGCAGTTCTGGGTGAGAGGCAGAAGGAAACAGCAGGAAGAACACAAGCCCCAGAGCCAGCCAGACTTCCATTCAAATGCCAGCTCTGCTGCTTCCTGGCTGTGTGACTTAAGGCAAGTCATTTAACCTTTCTGAGTTTTGTTCAGTCACTCATAGCCTTATTTAGTCCCCTCAGCCTTATCCTGAAGGTCTCTGGATGACTCCTCCAGGAAAGGGAGGGAGGAAAGGAACAGAGTTTCACTTTTATTTCTGAATCCCTGACATGTAATGTTTGAAACCTGGCTCCAATCTCAGAGCCAGACAAGGCCTGCAGTGGTGCCTGGGAGGGGGAGCTGGGGAGGCCGGAACCTGCAGAAAGGTCCAGAGGCCCAGGGAAGGGGTGGCCCTGGCCATTGGGGTCAGGGGGCGGGTTTCAGTGGTGCAGGGACCTCGGGAAGAAACATGGCATGATGCTGGCATTTGGACTATTGACTGCTGCTGAGGCCTCAGTTTACCAGGCTGAATTTGAAGGCTCTTCCCCATCTAAGATGCCCTAAGGCATCTTCCCCAGCTAGGTGGCCAGACTCTAGAGAGGTACCACTTGTGAACATGTCTTTTACCATTAACAAAGCTCACTTACATCCAACCTTCTGTGTCTCCAAATCCCCTGACTGAGTAAAGTTCCTCTGGGAAGCCTTCCTTGATGCCCAGGCTGGATCAGGGACCCCCTGGGCTCCTCGCACCCCTGCACTTCTTGCTATTACAATCTAAGCACTTGATATCTCTCCCTGTCCCCTTGCCTGCCAGAACCTCATGCAACAGGTGAGAGAAGCGCCTGTGGTTCCAAGCTGCTGAGATATTGGGGATGTTTGTTTCCACAGGAAAAGCTGAGCAGTATGGATGTCCACAAAGGCCCATCCCCAGAGGAATGGCTGAGCGCTGCCTGAGACCTGGGTCAGAGGGATCATTCTGCAAAAGCAAGGAAGGTGGCTGGTGCTGTGGGATGGGGCCTCCTCATCAGTAGTTTGGGGACAAGTCCTAGGGGCAGAGTGGGGGCAGCTGGGAAAAGAGGCTGGCAGCCTGGGGGAAGAGTGCCCACAGTGAGCCCTTCCCATGGCCTGACACTGCCTATCAGAGAGGGCTGCTGCTAAGTGTAATTAGAGATGACTTGCCAGCCCTCTGAGCTGTGCGGTACCCTCCACATTGCACAGAAGATGAGACCGAGCCTCGGATAGTGAGGGATTTGCTCAGGATCCCACAGCTAGGAAGCTGCGGCCTCAGGGTAGGAACTGTACACACACATACACACACACACAGCCCCCCATGGATCTAGGGGGAGCCTGTCTTTTCTCTAGGGTCCTCAGTGGGCTTCCTCAGGCCCTCTGGGTTCTAGAATCCTCCCCCACCCCATCCTAATCTCACCCACCCTGGCTGCCTCAGCCCAGACTCTTGCTCCTTCCTGTCTCCGTTGCCTGCCCTAGTTCCATCTTCACTCCGCCTGACCCCCTCAATCTGGCCTCCATATGGGAGCCAGGGCCTCCTCACAGAGTCTGCTGCCCTGGCCTGTGAGGATGGAGCCCCCAAACCAGTCCCTCTTTCCTGGAGACAGGATCGTGGGCTGCGGAGGAAGCAAATGCTGGCCGGGCACCAACTATGTGCCAGACACGTTCTCAGACACCCTCTCTGTGGTTCAATATTCTTTTAACCCTACAGAACACTAGTTTTGTGGAATGCTATTAGGGGCTCCTTAATAAAAGAGTTCCACAGCCAAACACCTCTGGGAAACACTGGCTTAGACAGATCCTTTACTGTGGGATTCCTCCGAGCCGTTAATATGTTCTTGGGCCTTGTCAATGGCCAAAGAGAATTTCCCAAATGTATTTGATTGCAGAACTGTTCCTGTTGCAGCATCTCAGGGCTAACTTCCTCCAGAACCATCTCTGGGAAAAACCCTGAATCCTCCCCAGCCTGTCTGGCACACAGTAGGTCTGCAGTCACCCCTGGCTCCCTCCCTTTCTCCTGTCCTGGGCCAGCTTCAGTGGCCATGATAGGGCAAGCTATAGGGACCCCAGCCCTGGCTCTGGAACTGGGGACCAGAGGTAGAGCACTGGGGCCTGGGAGGTGGGTGCACGCAGGTCAGGGGACAGGAAGCACTCTCCCCAAAGAATGTGGGCAGACCTCGCCCTCTGGCGGAGCCAGTCTGCCTCTGGCTTTTGCAGGCCTCCTGTGTGGCCATGGCTGGCAGCTGCCCTACCTCCCCTTGTGCCTCATTTCTTATTTGTCCAATGAGCAGGTTGTATGACATGTATCCTTCACTATTCATTTGACAAACATTTACTGAGGACTTTATATCAGGCAGCCTCTTTCCATCTCCTGATAGAGTTCTTGGCTCTTCCCATTTTTCTCCCCAAATAGGGAGAAGGAAGGGTGGGGCCTCCCACCAGCCTCTATTCCCAAAGGACCCCTCACTGGGTGAGGTACACATAGCCACTCCTAGAAACTCTGCCTGTGGCCCCTCCACTTGGCATTCCTGGGGCCACCTCCCTTGACTGTGGGGAATGGAATTCCCCAAATGCCACCAGAGGCCCCAGCGTGTGCCTGGCCGGAACTGGGTGGAGCATGTGCTCCGTGGCTGACCTTTCCTGCTGGGGCGGCACAGGCCCTTACCTGTCTTGCGTCCCATGGGAGCCCACCTTCTCATTCTTCATGCAGAAGTCGGGTGAGCTCTGTAGATAGATGAGCTCCGAGTCCTTCACAGGCCGGATATCCAGGTCCTTGGGCACCAGGTGCTTGCGGGTGCCCATGGGTCGGTGCACTACCTTGGTGGCTGATAGGTAGCGGATCTTCAGGTCAGCAGCCACATCCCGGAGCTCCTGCAGCCCCTTCCAGCAGGTGCGAATGGAGCAGGAGCCAGATACCCCGTGGCACTTACACTTCATTTCCAGAGAGGCACGCAGGGCCTGTGGACAGGGGAGGGTGTTGGGCTGGGCAGACAGAGCCCCCTCCCTGGCCTGCCGCAGGCCCTTGTCCCCACCCCTCCGTGTGTGGGTGTTTTCAGGGACACGGCTTTGTGCCCTAGGGCTGGGGGGGGTGTTATAGGCCCTCAGCTCCTCCTCCACCTAGCACTGGGGGGTGGGGGGCAGGACAGACAGCTAGGTGCGGTAGGAAGAGACTGGCATTTGCAGGAATAACAGATGCCAGTCACACACCTACGGTATACCAGAAGCTTTGACACATAATACAGCTTAATCATCACAACAGCCCTTCACGGGCACTTATGGTTCCTTTCCCTATTTAAAAAGCAGAAGTGAAGGCTCAGAGAGGCTGTCTCATGCCTAAGGATGCATAACTAAAAAATCTTCCTGCTGCAACTTGAACCCAGGTCTGAAGGCCACTCCAAAAGCCATGGATTTTTATTGTTCCACACTTTCTCTCACAGAAAACTGGGGCTTACTAAATGCTTGCTGGAATACAAGGGAAAAGAAGAAGAGCAGGAAAGAAGGGAGGTAGGGAGGGCTGGGAGCAGGAAGGGGAGGGAAGGAAAAAGAGGCAGGTGAGTACATGGACCCTCAAGTTCCGTGGCCTGGCTGGCCTTTCCCCTCCACTGCCTCGTGACGCTCAGCAAGTGACTTCACCACTCAGTGCCCCTGTCTTCCCACGTGCACATAATTGCTACTTTTCAGAGTCACTGTAAGGATTCAATGAGCTGATGTATAGGAAAGGGTTTTGTGAACTATAAAACTTATATCAATATTACTTTTAAAAAATCAGTCTAAGTAATAATTATGATGGAGGCAGGAAGCGTGGGCTCTGGGACTTGGGGACACTCTAGCCCTGGCTTTGGAAGTGACTCTGTCCCACCACTCTCCCTGGGCTTCAGTTTCTCCATGTGTATCTGAGAGGCATGAGTCAGAGGCCTCCTGCCAGCCTTTCAGTTCTGAGCTTTAATCCCTGCTTCTTTGCATGCAGGCCTTGGGTCTCTCTACCCAGGCAGCCCCTGTGTGCAGCCTCTCTGTGCAGAAAGCTGCAGGAATTACAGGTTCCCCAGGGTCTACACCCTGTATCAAAAAGATGGGGAAACTGAGGCACATAGCAGGCAGGGATTGCCCAAAATCACTCGGTGAGTTAGTGAGGCAGCTGGTCAAGTTCCCAGGGCTATTTTCCCCTCAGTGCTGGGAAGTAGGAAACGAGGGAGTCCATATGGGTATAAAATCTGGAATTGGCTTGGCAAAGCCTGTGGAAAGCACAGGAATGAAGTGAACCCAACTGCAGGGCATGTCCAGTCTCCCAAGGGCATCAGAGTACTCTGAGTCCTCAAGAAAAGGCTAGCTATATTCAGTTCCTCAGTGCAGATGGGAGGGAAGGGCCCAGAGCATCCTGAGGCCTGCTGTGTGCCACCGCTAAGCACACTGCATCTGTGCTGTCACTGACTGCGCAGGCCCTGGGGCTTGGGGGAGGAGGATCACACCCTTTAGAAGATGGCCCCAGGGAGGCCAACTCCCTGGCATCAGGACCCTAGGGACAGGCCTGATGTGCCCCTGAGGCTGAGGACCCTCTCTGGGTTGCATTACGGGAGGAGATGGCTGTGCCCCTGGCAGCAGGAAGCAGGCTGTGGGTAGAGTGGGGCTGGGCTGGGTGAAAGGCTCCTAGTGGGTTTCTAAGGACAAGGGATGGGCCAGCAGTTTTGGAGGCAGGAGTCCTGGGTCCCCGGCCAGACTCTGTGATAGACCCACACTGTGTGACTTAGCTTCAGTGTCCCCAGCTGTCCAAAGATGGATTGGATATCCCAGAATCCTTGCATAAGGGAGGCCAGTGAGAGCTGAAGGTGAGGACATGGAATCTCTGGACTTGGAGGGCCATAGACCTGGTCTCAATCACTCCTTGTGACCTTGTCAAGCCACCTAAACTCTTTCTGCCTCACTTGGTGCTTCTGTACAATGGGCCTAATGGGGCTGCAGGGAGGAGGTCATTAGATGCCATCTGCACCCAACAGTCTGCCCCTCAGGCACTCAGTTCCCTCTGAGAAGGGTGGGGGTAACAGTATTTCTGGGAAATACTGTGGCTCACAGGAGAGAAAACTAATGAAACACCCAGTGCAGTGTCTAACACACAGATTGGTATAAAGCTGGCTTCTTTTAATTTTCAGAAAAATTAAAAGGTCCATTCATTCACTTATGCATTCACCCCAACCTTCTGGCGAATGAGTCAGGAATTAATGAAACATTGAAAATAACAGATATTCAGGGGAGACCACTTTTGAGCTGGGGGTAGGTTTTGGAGCTGCAAGTTCCCACTAGCTCCAGGGAGACATTCCTTAGGCTAAGGCTCCTGCCCCACAGACCCTCTCCAGGCCTCCTCCCACACCCAGGCTCGGCCCATAGCCTGGGAAGAAGAGCCTAAGGAATGTGGCTGATGGGGTTAGAGAGCACCTTCCCGTCCCATTTTACAGATGGGAACAGCCGAGGGCAGTGAGGAAGTGACTTGCCCAATGTCACACGGTGAGCAGAATGCCAGCACCAAGGTGGGAACTCAGAGCTCCTGGCTCTTAGCACAGCACCCCTTCTGCTCTGCCCATGTTCTCCAGCCCAAATCCCTGTGGACCCCTTGGGAAGGAGGAGTCAGGAAGCCCCAGATGGCTGGAGAGGGGAGAGCTGAGAGGGACCAGGAGAGGGTCTGTGAGGGTGGGCCAGGGCCCTTCCCCCCGCCACCCCCTCCATCAGGGCACACTGGGTGGCCCTTTTCCGGCCAATTGGCACAAGCACAATCATCTGGGGTGGGTGGGGTGGGTGGTTACCTGTCTCCCCACTTCACTGTTGTGTAGACGCATCAGTTTATTGGCTTGGGATCCTGTTTTTTTCACCTTCATAGGAGCATCGGAAAACTTGGCCCCCATGAGGAGCCCGTAGCTGAGGTTGTCCGCACATCCTCCCCAGCGGTTCCCGGGCCCGGGTGGCTCACCTGGGACGGGGCCGCAGGAGCAGCCAGGTAGGTCGCCGGAGGTGCAGGCCCGGGCAATGGTGTGGCTGATGGCGGCTGCTGACAGTGCATACACGAAGGCTGACTCCCGGGTCCCTGTGGGGAGATACAGGGATCAGCCCGGCCAGAGTGACCGAGGCATAGGATTGCCCAGGATGAGAGCCTCCTCCCAGGCCCCAACTCACCTCTGCAGGGTTGGCAGGGGCAGGGCCTGCAGCTGGTGTGGAGCAAGTAGAGGGCAGCCCTAGGGCCATAATTGTCACCCTCCCGGCCCTGGTGCATCCACAAATTCACTAGCTGACCTGCACACTCCTCTGCACATTCACACTCACGAGGCCGACCAGCCCTGCATACCCACAGATACACAATTCTGTGCTCTCCCCCGGCCTGCCTTGCACTCGTGTTAGGGGCTACTCTAGTCAACTGAAAGACAGTCTCTGAGCTCCTCAAAGAACTCACAGCTGGATGGTCAAGACGAGTCTGCAAGGAGCCTGCTGTGGATTGGACTATGTCCCCCAAAAAGACATGGCCAAGTCCTGACCCCTGGTACCTGTGAGTGTGCCCTCATTTAGATATGGGGTCTTTGCAAGTGCAATTGAGCGAAGCTGAGGACATACTGGCTCAGGGTGGGCCCTAACTCAATGACTGCTGTCCTTATAGGAAATGGACATTTTGGATGCAGAGATATAAGGCCTTTTGACAGAGGCAGAGGTTGAAGCGAAGCAGCTATAAGCCAAGGAGTACCAAGGACTGCCAACAGCCACCAGGAGCTAAGAAGAGGCAAGGGAAAATCCTCCCCTAGGCTGTCAGAGGTATGTGGCCCTGCTGACACCTTGATTTCAGACTTCTAGCCTCCAGAACTGTGAGACAACACACTTCTGTTGTTTGACTCTTAACAGCAGCCCTAGGAAATTAATACAGAGTCCAAAGTGTCCTGGCCTTGGGTTCAAGCAAGTCACCTCACCTTCTCAAGCCTCAGTGTCCTTAACTGTAGAATGGGAATGAAATACCTACCTCACAGGCTTGCTCAGGAGTTCAAATGCTTTGGGAAAGAAAGAAGCTTTGTGAGGCACTGCACAATTAGTTGCTCTCACACAGGGGAGAGAGGAGGTCCACGGGGGCGTTTCTGCCCATGAAGAGCCTCTCTATTGTACTCAGGACTCCCAAAGTCAGCCCAGAAGCCACCTCCTCCAAGAAATGTTCTCCACAGATGTCCTTTAGTCCCTGCGTCATTTTGTGCATGTCACAGCAGCTTCCATTGGCCATCCAGAATCATCAGCGGCACACCTGTCTGCCCTGAGGGTGGGCTCTAGCGCATTCTCTTTATACACTCCCCTCCCACAGTCCCCTGGCATTATTCATTCCTGCATTCCCGCATTAGGGTACACGTGTATTTGTGCTGTCATCCAGGCTCCCCTGAACTGATATATTCCCCAGCCCTATGTTTAATCATTCATCACTTCATGCCCGACTACCCATATCTGTGATTAACTCATCCACCCCTCCATCCATGCCTGTATCCTTCTGTGTATACACCTGTCATCCATCTACTCACTCACACACCCATCACACATCCATCCATCCATGAATTCACTCACCCATCTAAATACACGTGTATTTATGCCTGCAATCATCTATCCCCACCTGCGTGGATTCTGCAGGCCCTAGCAGCCCACTCCCCACCCAGGCTCCCTACCTCTCTCCAGGTCAAGCAGGTAGTTGGGGGCAAGTTCAATGGAGGAACAGTTCCAGCGCATGTCTGCGAAGGCCCTGCGGCAGGCCTTCACAACCTCGCGGGCGGCTTGCACAATGGTGTGCATGAGATCCAGGTTGCTGCGGCAGAGCTGCACCTGCGCAGACACCAGGCCCTCTAGCTGCTTGCAATGCTGCGTCTGGTTCAGCGCTAGGGCTGCTGGCGTCTTGGATAGTGCCCTACGCAACAGCAAAAGGCAACCATCAGAGGAAGGAAAGTCAGGGTTGAGGGGATGCACTTCCTCCACATGCTCTACTCAATGAGCTCAGAAGGCTTTGCTGGGAGGAGTCAGGAAACCAGTAGGCAAAGTGCTGTCCCCAGCAGAGCAATGATGCTCCCTCCCACCCCTGTGTGACCTTGGGCACATCACTGTCCCTCTCTGGGTTTCAGGCCCCCATTAATCACATCGGATTACAACTTCCATACTGCCTAAACTTTATTATGATTATATTAACACTAAACAGTTTTATAGTTCACCAGCACTCTCTTATTTATTGCTGTATTTTGTTCTTATACACCTCTGGATTATTATTCTTTATTCAACTTTCATTCAACACTGAGCACCAATGTGTGCCAGACACCATGCTACATACTAGATTATAATCATAATAATGCTAATAAATGCACTATTAATTGAGCACTAACTGGATTGACAACATGAGTTAGAGTTTCCCACCATGGCTTCCTTTGATTATTAAATTCAATCATTAGGCTGTAAAATCTCACATACATGCTAGGCATTTATTAAAGGATTAGAGAGCCACTCAACTTTGTGATAAACTAGACTCAGTCATTAACTTGCTGTGTGACCTTGCAAAAATCACTGTCTCTCGCTGGGCCTCAGTGTCTGTATCTGTAAACTGTATTTCTCAAAATGAATTCCAGTAAGACATTCTGAAAAAAGGGATCATGGTCAACCACATTTGGGGAACATGGTATACTATTTCCCCCTTGGAGAGTAATGATTCACATTTACATTTTAAATGCCCTGAGAAGTCCTACAGCAAAGCAATGGTTTGGTTTGGTTTCACTCCCAAAGTCTGCTGAGCACAAAGCCCTTTGTTTGAGGAGCACCGCAAAGCAATGGTTTGGTTTGGTTTCACTCCCAAAGTCTGCTGAGCACAAAGCCCTTTGTTTGAGGAGCACCAATCTCATCCATGCTTTGGAAAATGCTGTCCTGGGGTTCTGCATGAACCCTGATGTGTTATAGGAACTAACAGCTTCCCAGATCCTGGCTCTGGGCACTGGGATTCCAAAGTTCTGGGGTCCAGGGATCTATTCTGGATCTGCCTTTCTCTCAAGCTTTCTCTGAGGAGCAGAAGGCACCAGGCAGTATCTCTGCTAAGCACAGGCTAGAGGGACCCCACAGTCTTAAAGAGTTCCACACACTCTTGCCCCCTGCCCCACAGCCAGCAGGAGGCTGTGGAGGCTCAGGAGGCAAGAGAAGGCCAGTCTGCAGCCATATGTGCCGTGTGCCCCACGTGCACCACAGCAGTCCTCACCCAGGGTCAGAGCTGAGGCCTGGTCAGGCCGAGATCCCAGGACTCCCGGTCTGAGATCCCCAGGAAGGCACCCTGGAGCCAAAGAACGCACAGGCCTGGCACCATTACTCTCCTTGCGACCTTAACTAAGTCACTTAACCTGTCCCCTCCCAGCAACCTCCCACCCTTATCGGAGGGACTGACTTAGACAGCTGCCTGTTCCGTGCCCTGCCCAGAGCTGATAGGCTGTGGTCAGCACTTGGTGATGGAAGCTGCTGCACTCGCTCCTTTGGTGGGCTCTTCCTCCCTGCAAACAGCCCCCTGTCCCACGTGACCCACCAGACCCACTAGGCAAGGCCAAGGGCTGCCATCTGACATTCCAGGCCCCTCAAAGCCTGGCCCTCCCACCCTGCAGCCTCCTACCCTTGGCCTCTACATGTCTAGTTATCCTGCCATCCCCATGGGGTTTCTCCAACAGCGACTGCCCTACCACACCTTTGCCCAGGCTGTTCCTGGTGGCAGATGTCATCCCATCAGCCTGCTTGTCAGTGTTAGAACCCCTCTACCTCCACCCAGCTCTGTCCACACATGTGGACACACTGTCCCACGTGGACACAGCACTCTCCAGTTTACAGTTAGAGTCTCATTTCATGCTCTAGCCCATTCTCCCAGCACCCAGAGGGGTTGGCCTGGGAAATTAGTGTCCCTGCTTTGTAGAGGGGACCCTGAGGCATCCCAGTGCTGAATGCTTCCTCCCGATGCCTTCCTTCCACAGACCTGGTCTCTCTTTCCTGGGTCTCCTCTCTGCTGGGCTGGAGGCCATCAAACTCAGCCTGTCCTGAACATTCTCTGCCCTTCACCCTTGCCCAAATTTCTTCCTTCCCCTCTGAGCCAGTTTACTGTTTCATAAAGCACATGAGATACATGAGAAAACAGCCAGCACAATGCCAGGCCCACAGTGGGCACTCAAGCCGAGTGGTTGCCTTCTAGGTCTTGTCCCTGGGCTCCTGCTCAAGCCAAGCCTTTCTCTGCAGAGCTCAGCTCAGGCACTTCCTGAGGGTTGGGGGTTGCAGCTCCCAGAGAGGGGTGCTCTGTGCTCTGGTGCCTGGAGACCTTTGGCTGCTCTGTCCATCTGTGAAGTCATGAAGCATCTGCCTCCCCAGACAGTGGTGAGAGAGGGTGCTGTGAGGGAAACCTGGGTGAGGACGCCCACGCAGGCAGAGGACAACTAGGACAACTTGGGAGCATTCTGGAGGTCCTCAATGGGTGCAGAGCTGCTGGAGACAGTGGCTCAGCCAGAGTGGCCAGCCTCAGCATGCCACGGGGTCCGGCCCACAGAGCATGCATGCCCAGGCCCAGAGATCAGGAGGCAGGAGGCTGCGGATTCTACTCCCAAGGAGGGTGATGTGGTCATCTGGTAATTAGTGGTAATGACTGTTTCTAACCAAGTCCCCCTTGGGGAGGTAATCAAGGATTAGGGCAGGAGGCGGGGGAGTTACCAGTCTGGACATCTCCTCCCGCTTGCCTCACTGCAGCAGACCTCTAATTGAAAACATTTTGGTTTATCTAGGGGTGGGAGCATGGGGGAGAGGGTGGAAGACAGGACAGCAGGGAACAGAGAGTTCAGAGTTCAGAGGTGAGTCCTGTGCCACGAGGGCTGCTGGGTGGCCCAGGCCTCTCATCTGGGAGCTGGGGTTTCAGCACAGGTCTCAGCTCCTGCGCACAGCTGCTTGACCAACAGGCGAACTGGAGCCAGTCACGGCCCCTCACTGGGCCACAGTGTCTGCTTCCCATTGTGCAAGTGGGGATACTGAGGCCCAGAGAAGGGTGGGGCTTGCCCAGACCTGTACACAGCCAATCAGAGGCAGAACCAAGCTAGAGCCCAGGCCCCCAGATCCCAGACCAGGGCTCTTTCATTCTCACTTAAGAGTTGAGGACACTGAGGCTCAGAGAGGCTGAAGTGATTGATTTGCCTAAGGTCTGGCTCCCGGCTTGCGAGCTGGCAGAGCTGCCCAGGGAGAGTGGGGTGGCCTTTATGGGTCCTCCCAGCCACCCTGGGTCTTTTCTCTCACTGGACAGCCCCAGTGTTTCACAGGAGATTGAACTCTTCCTCCCAAACCACACCCCACTGCCAAACCAGGGTGGCCAGAGAAGCAGGCAGACAGCCCACCTGGCTCTCCCCCCACTTGCTGGTCTGAGAGTCTCCTGACACCCAGGTTGGGTGAGAGAAGATGTAGGGGAAGGGTCCCCCAGGCTATCCCTGGCCAGATGCTTCCATGAGCAGCTGGGCTCTGACCCCTCTATTTTTCCCCCATCCCATCAGGAGGCTCAGGCTGAGTGCTAGGTCCCCCACAGGTGGGCATTCCAGGTCACTCTGCCACATCTGGTTTCAGTTCCTACGTCAAATACCCCTTTCATCTTCAGCTCACTTTTCAAAGCCCAGGGCAGGGGGACCCCCAGGACAATGCAGGAGAGTTGAGTCTCCTGGAAGAGTCCCCAGCTTCCACCTACACTATACACTTCCTTGTCCCCCTCTGTCCAGCGGCTCCCTACAACCAACAGGCCGCAGAGCCAGACAGCCTAACCCCAGATACTTCCCTTACACCTACTAGCTGTGACAGAGAGTCCCCTGTGCCTCCATCTCCTTTTCTGTTTAACGGGGGTGATAGCAGAACCCACTCTACATGGTGGTTGTGAGATTTAAAGGAAACAGTATACATAAAGGAGTTAGAATAGTACCTGGCACATAGCAAGGACACACACACACACATTGTTGTTATTCCTAAACTCTACTCCTGCATCCCCCTCCATCTCCAGCTCCAGTAAGAGTTTAACCACCATCAAGAAGTTTGGCTTCACTGAGCCCGTCTGCCTGGGTTTCTGATCTGATAGCTACCATTAACTAGCTGTGTGACATTGGACCAGTTACTTAACCTTTCTGTACCTTAGTTTCCTCATCCGTAAAATAGTAGTGATAAGACTGTCACCTGCATCATAGAAATATTGTCAAAATTAAGTGACTAAAGCCCTTGAGACAGAGTCTGGGGATTTCCTTAGGGGGCTGCTGTAATTCCTGCTCTGTTTCCCCACATGCATTCTTCTGCCTTTCTGCTTGGCCACCATCTCCTACCTAGGGCGCCTGCTCTGTATTCCATCCTTGGCCATCAGAAGCCTACCTATCCCTCAAAGCCCAGCCCAAAGTCACCTTCCTTAGATGAGACTACCTGCTCCTCTTCTGATCTCTCACATCCCCTCTCCTAGAACACAGCCCAAAATCCACTTTGTATTTTTCTCATGTCCATATCCCCCAGGAGGCTAGGAGCTCCTTTAAGGCAGACACTGAGTTGTACCCATTTTTGTAGCAGCACAGGCCATGCAGTAGGGACAACATGGACACGGGATTTAGCTAGCCATCTTTGCCAGGCTCTATCCAGGCACATGCCTGGCTGGGGGCTTGTGGAAGTCACACACTTGCAGAGCCTCAGTGTCCCCATTGTAGCACAGGAATGGCAGCAGTGTCCCCCACCACGCTCCAGGAGCAAGCCTAGTTCTTGGCCTCTTTTATTCCTGTGTGCTTTAGCAAATCTTTTCCCTCTCTGGACCTCAGTTTCCATATCTATAAAATGGTGGTGGTGGGCAAGGAGAACTTGGGCTCCATGATCAGAAGTTCCCATCCACAGGGACAGTGCCAGGTACCCACAAGAGAAGGAAGGTGGCTGATTTCTCATAAGCCCAATCAGGAGCAGCTGAGAAGAGCTGGTGCCCCTGAGCTGGGAGGCCGCTGAGCCCAGGCTCTCTCTTGCAAACAAGAAAGGCAAGAAGATGGGGTTCTCTTCTTGAGTCACCAATTAATCGATAACTCAGCCCCAGAAGAGGCAGGGCAGGTGACCTCGAGACTGTTTGCTGGAGGCCCAGCCACTATCGTACTGTCTTCCAGCTAATCCATGAACCTTCCTCACAGCCCCTCTCCAGCCTCCATAATCCGTCCCCTGCCTGTCTTATCTGCATCCCCACGCCCCAGACTTCCCCACAGCTCAGGGGAGTCCTTCCACCTGAAGAACCTGAAGTCAAACTCGCAGAGGCTCCTCAGGCCCAGCCTGGTGGCACCAGCCCTGAAAAGTCTCCCAGAGTCCTCTGTCCCCTGCCAGGTGGTCTCCCCTCCCCTGACAGCACCGCCTTGGTCTCCCCTAGGGCACTCGGAGTTATTTAAGGCCTCAGCTTATCTCTTCCAGCCCAGAGGGCAGCTCCTCCAGGAAGGGGTTGGGTTTTACTCCTCCTTCCCTGCCTACACCGCCCACATCCCTGCAGAAATCAGGCACTCCCCTTCTGCTGGGTGGAAGGGAGCTTTCTCTCCCACCTAATCCCCATTAACACTTTCCATCTAAAGACACACTCTTCACATGTGCACAGCACCTGACAGCTTACCAGCTTCTCTCATCTGCCGTGAAGAAGGTAGACGCTTACTTTCCTTATGCAGAGGAGGGCACTGAGGCTCCCAGAGACTGAGGGACACTTCCCCAAGGTCACCCAGGTGGACGGGTCAGGACTGCTTGAGGATCTCCTGCTAGCGTCAGGAGACTGACAGGAAACATACTGAGCAGGCCCCGTGTGCAGGGCACAGACCCTCTTGATTGGGCCCCTCGACCATGCTCTCTTTTTCCATCTGCCCCTGTGGCCGTCTTGCGCAACCCTCAGAGGCACAGGACAGGGCAACGCCTCGCCCTCCACGCCCCGTCTCATTCCTGCTTCTCAACCCTCTGGGAGGTTAAGGACAATATTTCAGAGTAGGAAAAGGAGGCTTAAAAGAGTGATTTTCCACGACTCCCAAGCCAACTTCTGCTCCAGGGTCTTGGGGGCGCGCTGGCCGAATCCAGGGGGCCTCCCCGCCGCCCATTCCAGTGACCCGGGGTCCCTACTTACAGCCATTTGATGCACATGCCAGTCTGGAGTGCCAGGGCGAAGAGCAGTGCCTCGCAGACCTGCGGCCGCACCCTCATGTCGCGCGGCGGGCGCGCTCAGGGGTCGCACCCTTGAGAAGCTGTGCCGAAGTCCTGCCGGGGACACAGCCACCGCCGCTTCTCCTGCGCGCACGCCGCCTGCAGTCGGGGAGAGCAGAGGCGGCGGGCTACGGCAGCGCTCAGGGCGGGGGCCGCAGCAGGGGGCGTTTCATTCAAATTACGAAGGAGGGGTAGGTCCTGGGGCGGCCGAGCGCGCCGCGGGCGTCACCTCCCGCCCGGCGTCAGGCTCGAATTAGGTGTCGCGGGAGCGCGGCCGAGGCAGATCCACCTAGCGCGACCCCCGGCTTGGCCGTGCCTTTGCGTCCCTCGGGCAGGGACCCAGGACGTTGGTGGGGAGGAAAGGGGGCGACCAGAGACACGGAGAGAGACGCTCAGAGCCACAGGCTGAAAGACACTGGAGGCAGAGAAGAAGCCGGTATGGGACACAGACCTCGGGAGGGTCGGAAACGAGAGGAGCGGGGGGTCCGGGGCTGATACCGCGGGCGGGCGAGAGCAGGAGCAGATTCCCGGCCCAGGGTCTGGACTCTCTCTGCAGTATTAATTATCAGTTATTATGACCCTGTCCATTCTCTGCCCCCTCTGGGCCTCAGCTTATCTCTTAAGTAAAGTGGGGCTACAAATGGGATTCGAACACAATACATCTTTTATAAAGTTCACCTAACGTGATCGTATTTGCTCCTCCCAGCAGCAACCCTGTGGAATAGGTACTATGACTACCCCATCTCATAGACGAGAAAACTGAGGCGCAGAGATGTGAAATGGGGCTGTTCAGCGGGTGAGCAGCAGGCCCACGCCCATGTTCTGCTCCCACATCGACCCGGTGTTGGTGAGACCCGGGCTGGGAGAAAGCAAGGATAGTGGAGCTTGCTCTGGGAAGCAGTTTCTCAGTCTGTGAAGGGGGTTATGAGAAATGGGATGGCAAAGGTCTTTGTACGGTGAGGGCCGGGCTGTCCAGGATCCCGAGTCTTCGAGTCCCTCTCTAGGGGTCCCCTTTTTGGAGGGTCGGGGTAGTGCCTAGGCCAGAGCCTAGCGGGGGAAGCATGGTTTGGGCTGAGCAGCAAGTTCACGGGCCGGCGTGTGCCGCCTCCGGCCGCCAGGCGGCGTCCAGGGGCCGCGGAGCAGCCGTTACCCAGCCCTTCCGCAGGTCACAGAGCCGCTTTCTCCGGCTTTTTTCTTTCTTTTCTTCTTCTTTCCCTCTTCATTCTCACTTCAGTTACTCCCTTTACAACTTCTCTAAAATTTACCAACACCTGGTGTTCGCCCAGAGGCAAACACAGCCGCAGTCTCTCTCCCCTGAGGAAGAGCAAGACAAAGGGTTTCCTTCTAAAGGGTTTGGGGAATTGGAAAAAGGAGGTGCCCACCTTAGTTGGGGCGTCTGAGCGGGAAGGGGGCGTTCCCATCTGGCAGTGTGGGTTAGGCAAGCTCTCAACCACCCCAGCCTCAGTTTCCCCATATATAGAAACAAGGGACTGGAATTAGCCACGCATCTCCTGAGGTCTTCCCAGCCTCCCAGAAGTCTGCGGGTCTCTGCGCTCCCCTCTAAGTTTCCACTATTACGTATACCTGTGTAGTGTGCGCATGTACTTGTGTGCCTTAAGCGCACACACATACACACAAATTTGAAACCCAGGTTTTTTGGAGCCTTCTGGCATAACCCAGGGGAAGGCAGGGAGAAAACCTTGAATTACATTTTTTCTCTTTCGCAGTCTCCCCGTAGGCGCTTAGCAGAGAAGCGCTTGCAACAAACGAGTCCAGGCTAGGGGTCTCAGCGGGGCTCACAGTGTAACTGAGCTTCCTCCTCCCACCCAGCCTGCATCCAAACCGTGTTTTACTGGCCCTGAGAGTTTACGACACTCCTGAGAACGAGAAAAATATCTGGTGGATATGGGGGGGGGGGGATCAAAACGCCTGTCACTGTCTCTCTTCTCTCCCACCCACCTCTCATAGTGTGGGATCCCACCACCACCCTTCGAGGCACCCAGCATTCCTTGGTCGGGACGCGGAAGGGGCTGCACGCGGAGGGAGGAGAGCGCGGACTCACAGCGGGGTTCCGTGTCCAGTCCAAGTGGCCCAGAGAGAGGAGGGCCACCCGGGTCACACGGCTCACCGGACCCAGGCCTCCAACTACTCCCGGCTCTTTTCCTAGGGCACCGCAGGTCCCGGGCTTCTCCTTCCGCCTCCCCAGCACATCGCTGGAGGACGGGAGGAGGCAGCGCCTGGCCCGATCCTCTGGGTCCTAATGGATTATTCCTATCCTGTGTAAGAGCGGTCAGGACAGCCGCGCGGGCCGCTGGGTCACCCTCAAGCTTGCGCCCCGCAGGTCAGGGCGCACTCCGCGCCCGGAGCTCCCGACCCGCCAGGGGGCGCTAAGACGGGGTTAAGCTGGGATCCTCAGCTGCCTTCCTCGCGGTGGGACTTTGGGCAAGAACCCTCTTCTTCCTGGGTCCCAGGTTTCCAGTCTGGGGATGGGATGAGTTGTAGAATAAGTGCCCTCTCAGTTCCTGTCGTTCTATGAGACATCCACGTGCCAGGGTGGGTGAACTGCCCCAAATCTCCCCGAACTGCCTTCAGGCCCAGCGCCTAGCCGCCTTTGGGGTTGGCCGCGTACTGGGCCAGCGTCAAAGCGTTGTGTCTTCGCCGAGATGAACGATCCCTTCCTCCACACGCTGGGGATAAGGTCAAAGCCGGTAACAGGGCGGGCCACCGAGCTGTTCACCGAGCGCAGTAGCCACAGCCCCACTCCAACAGGTGGTTGTAAAGGCTCGGGCTCTGGAAACCCCACTGCTAGGGCGGCCGCGCCTGAGCCGAGACGACCGGGACGTGCCGAACCTCACCAACCAGGATGAGCCCGCGCTGAGGTGGTGAGAGGGCACAGCGCGCAGGGGCAGAGTGTCCGCTCCGCGCGTAAGGTTCAGCGCGGTCCGGGCCTGCAGCCTCCAGTTTCTCAGTTCACAGAGCAGACCCTGCAAGCCGGTGACGCCCAGCGACCCCTTCCAAGGTTACCTGCGACGCGGAGCTAGGCCTGGCCTGTAACCCGGCCGCGAATATTGCAAGATATGCCTGCTTTTCTTTAGAAGACGCGCTGCGTTACCCTTGAGACGGCTTATTTTGGAAGTGGGAAGCGCCGGGTGGGGGAGCTAGGGGCCCGTCCCACTATCCCTCTGGAGCCAGGCCCTTAGTTCCTAAGGACAGAGAGAGCCATGGAGGCACCCTAGTACCAGGAGATGGGAGGTGTGGGACTTGTGCGCGAGCTCAACCAGACATTCGTGGCGGCTCCAGATGTGCCTCCTGGCCAAGGACAAGGCTCTCCTCCCCACCGCCCAGGCTGGAGCGCAGGTCTATAAACTAAGTCTCGGTTCTCTCCCTGCCCCTCCGCCTCTGGGAACCGCTCTTAACGGCATCCGCCCGCACTCCCCAATTTGGTTGGAGAAGCCATAGTTCTCTGCCTTTTGCCACCCGTTCTTGTTCCGCCACACACCCTCTGCCCTGCCGCAGGATCCAAGTCCCCCACCCCCGGGATGGCTCGGGCATGACCTCATCCGCGGGCCGACTGAGAGGGAGGGGATCCAATGGTTGGGGTGGTGGGGGAAAACTGGGCCGAGAATGCTAGCGGCGGGTGCAGTTACTGCACAGCCCACCTTTATCAAGCATCTGCGTAAAGCTGGCTCACCTAGTCCCCCGCGTTCAGTCGGAATTCCTCGGAGTGTCGCGAAGGAGAGGTATGGAGGAGGGCTTCATTTGCTTACCCGGGAGTGGGTGCCCAATGGGGACCCGCCGTCCCCCTTGGACCCGGACGCCCCCAGCCCTACAGGTCTTGGCTGAGCACCCGCCAGATGTCCGCAGCTACTGCTCACCTCCTGGGGCGCTTGTCGGGCGCACCCTGAGTGCCCTGCTGCCCAGGCCGGTTGGGGAGCGGCGAGCACGGCGCCCAGAGGATCGGAGCGCTCCCCGGGCTAGGCAGGAGGCTCGGGAGCCCCCTTTGAGAAGTGGCCAGAGAAGGACCCCGGGATCCCCGCGAGGGGCGGCCGGCTCTGGTCCCGCAGGACACAGGAGCGAACTCGGGCTGCTCTGAGCTACTCTCGGCTCCTGGGGTCTCCGCTCGCCTGCTCGCTCGAGCTCTCCTCCTAGCCGGGCACTGTCTCTGGTGCGGGCCGCCCAAACTGCTTTATAAGGCGCCGGCAGTCGCTTTGATCCGCCCACGTCAGCGTGCTGAAACCCCACCGGGTGGCTCCAGCCGCGCGCCAGGGGAGGGGGCGGGGACCCCGCGGATGCCACGGACCCGCGGCGCCAGAGGCACAGAGGACTTCACACCCTGTCGAGTTACAAAGAGAGAACTTAACTAACTATAGCTGGTGTTTACTAAGCGTGCCTGCTTGGAGTTTACTGCATGCCTGTGGCGCGTGGGGCCCAGGTAGGGCAGTTTCCAAACCTTGCCGCAAGCCGGGAAAGGAACCTCAGCCGTCTGTTTGACGGAGGAGAAAGCCAAGGCTCAGAGGGAAGTTCCACTTAAGTAGGTCTCAATCTGCAGCCAGGCCGGTGTATCACTAAGTGTTCGTAGAGCATCTCGGTTCCTACAGACTTAAGGGTTCCTGAGAGCTGCCTTGGCGTCCCAGCCCGTCCCTCACGGGGTCATACCCCCCCCCCCACCCCCAGACGTCTAGTTCCAGTTCTGGAAAAGGAATCTGAGTTCTCTGCAGAGAAAGGAAGCCCAAGTGCTCTGAAGTGCAGTCGGGTTGTAAACCTTAGGCACCAAGGAAGCAGGCGTCCCGGGTACCTTGTTCCAATCCCGAGGGGACCATCTGTAGATGACTGAGGTTCAGAAGTTAGAAGGGATTAGAGAGGGCTTCCTGGGTCTGTAGACCTGGCTGGGGTCAGGCAGCTCTGGGCCAACCTCCCTGGAACTGGTTGGATGAGTGCCCGTCTACTACCCACCACTGCCACCACAGCCTTCCTGGCTGACTGTACCGCCCTCCCCCCCATTTCTAACTGCTGGATCAGGTGCTGAGGTTTCCATGGCTTTGTCTGCTCCCCACCCACCCCAAGGACCTCAGTCCAAAGGATAATCTAGTTCATTAGTAGAAGGGGAAACACATACTTAGTGAAAAGGAACACTTATCTCAGTGTTCCCCCCAAAACACCTGGTACTCTTTCCCCATGTTTTGCAGCTGCCCATGAAGGGGTACTGATAGGCGGCCCCAACCTGGCCTCAGGTACCTCCACATCAACACACACATCTGGGCCCAGAGGCTGCTGCAGGCTCTCGGTGGTACAAGTACCCTCTTCATGTGGGCAGCCAGTCCCCCATGCACACGGGATTGGAACATATCACCTCACAAACGGTCACGGGAGGCACCTGCACGTATACCATATACCCACACACACTCAGTAGCACACATGAGTGAAATGGCCATACACATCTTCAAGACAGGCCACACACATAACTGCCCCCAACCAGTTCACACACAAACACACTTGTCTTCCATGCACACAGTGAGAATGCACACAGCTTCCCATTCAGTATGCAGCACTGAATGCATGCATACTCCTGCACATAGTCATAGGGATGTCCTGGGGCTGTGATGGGGCTGGGACACCCCCATCTCCTCTCAAAGGACTTTGGGCTCAGTGAAAGTCATGGGAAGTGGGGAGGTTATAAAAACTGTGGAAAGATAGTGGGGCTTTGGGTGGTATGTCAGGGAAGGGGATACAGGGACAAGGCTGCTTCAATTAAGAGGCTGGGGACAATGGCCTCCAGGAGTCAAGAGTGTCCTTAGTTCACCCACCCATGGCACTCTGGTCACCACAGTCAGAGCCATCCCAGGTGGCCTTTGTCCTATTGGGGTGCACCCTCCTCTGGGTCTAGCTCTCTGCTCTCTTGAGAAGCTAAGTCAATTGCCTTGAAACATTTTCATAAGCAGTCCTTCTGCCAGAAGTCTCCCTCTGGTTCCCAGCTAGAGTTGAAACAGAAAGCAGTGTGGAGTTACATAGACTTGGGTTCCACTACTGATTTTGCCCAATTTTATTTTTAGCTGTGTGATCTTGAGCAAGTTGCTTACCCACCCTGAGCCTTAGTTTCTTCATCCATAATACAATCCCATCAAATCCTCTATAATTCTCCAAGATGGGGATTAGTACCCCCCTTCCATCATATGGAACCTAAGGCTCTAAAGAGTGAGGCTGGCAAGTGTTTGAGCTGATATTTGAAACGGAGGTCTTTTTGGGCACTATAGCTAGTGTACCCCACTGAAACAGAGGAGAGGTGGATAGTGACTTACCATTGTCTGGAGAGGAGTAGAGGGGAAGTCAGAAGACCCCAAGACCCCTGAAGCCTAGCCCTGATCCCTCCTGGCGCCTCCCAGGTACTCAGCTCTGTTTTGAGAATCTAGACCTAGGAATCAATCAGCTCAGCTGGCCGCTTGTCCTGGGCCAAGCGGGGGAATGAGGAAGTGTGGCAGAATCTTGGACTGAGTCGAGGGAGACCTCCCTTGGCCCCAGGCCCCACTTGTATAAGGGGGAATACTTTACCACCTCAGACATGTTGGGATTCACTGAGACAGAGCATGTTCTTTTTCATCTTCAGAACTAACTGATCTTCTACCTCCCCGTTTCCTCCTCCTTCCCCCTGCCGGGGGCCTCCTCAAGGGCCACTGTGTGTCAGGCCTGTGCTGGCCACCTGGGCTGCAGGCTGCCCTTCAGAGAGGAGGAGGCTCTGATCTGAGCAGGGTAGGCACACGCTTGACCGCTGCTGCAGTGGGTGTTAATATATTTTCCTTCTCCTCAGTAACCATGGATGATTCTGGTTATCCTATCGCCCAGATGTGCTGGGGGCTTCCTGTTAGCGGGCTTTTCAGCCCAGCCCCTGCAAACAGCCCCGCCCAGTGGAGAGGGGGGGACACCCAAGCTGAAAGGACATGGGGAAGGGGGAAGCTACAGTTCTGTTCACCATGTTAACCTCTGTTGACCCCTCCACCACCTCAGCTTCCCTGCCCTGGGGCCAAGGCCTTGGTGGAGGTGGGTGGGGGTGAGGCAGCTGCTTCCAGGATGGGGGATGCGCGACCTGGATATGGTCCTTAGCCCTGTATGATAGATAATTGTTTTGCCCTCTCTGAACCCAGTCGCCCCATCTGTAAGTGAGGGGGTTGAACTAGATAACCTCCAAGGGATTTTTTCACCTCCAACCAGGGCTGACCCTTACCTGTTTATAGTATGAACCATCAACACAGTGGATACAATGAGACCAAAGAGAGCTGTTTCCAGCACCAGGGTGCTTTCAGAAAGGCCTTCCTGGGAAGGCAGTGCACAGGGGCTCTGGGCAGAGTAGCCTGGCCCAGCTGTCCAATGACCCTGGGGTTGGCCCGCTCCATGAGGCCAGATCTTACAGGCAAGGGAGAGGGGCATCAAATAGCAGCAAGCATGTCATCAGAGCACCTGTGCCTGGCTCTCAGATTCTTCTCCTTCACTTACCCACTGTATGACCCTGGGCAAGTCGCTCAACCTCTGTGGCCCTTGTTTTCATCATGTGTACAGTGAGAAACCCACTGAACCACTCCCAAGGTTACTGGAAGATAACCTTGCAGGAAAGAACTGATGCTGACTGAGCGAGCACCTCCTGTGCACCAGGCAGTTTCTGTGCCTATGGGTGAGGCAGGCTGTACTCAGCAGATGAACACATTGAGCCCCAGGCCCATCTGGTAATTTATGCAACATCTTGCAGAGGGTGAGTGGTAGAGCCTGGCTGCAAACTCAGGGCTGTGGGCGCTTTGAAGTCTGCCTACTGCCTGGGGAGGGGGTTACTTTCTCCTCCTCAGTTACCTTGGGCTGGCTAGCAGTTGTTATTTTACAAGGCTCAGGGAGCAGGCTTGGTGGGGGGAGGGTCAGTGGAGAGGTTTCTTTCCTGGATGCACATAACAAAATGCCACCCGTCATGTCTACTGAGGGTGTTCCTTCCGTAAGTCCCTTCTGAAAGGCTGCTTTCAACTTTTGATTGTTTAATTCTGGTGGTGGC